GAGTAAGCTCATCGCAACCAGAAATATCTATAGTAATGTTATACCATTCACTCAGTGCATTTATCCAATAGAAAATTTATGAAAAGGAGAAAAAAATATTTTTTTTATCCAAATGTCACTTGTTAAATGGCAGATGTACCTACTACAGGTGTACAGAAGATGCTCTCATCGCAACCAGTTATTTGCATTTTTCATTTTTTATTTTTTAATTTATCAGAAATTCACAATCATACAACACACAAATCGATAATGAAAAGAGAAAAGGAGAGAGAAAATTGACATGATAATTTATCTTGGTTCACTCAATATAGATTATGTCCAGCTTATCTGTAAAATATTTATCTTATTGTCACTTGTTACAAGTCACTCAATTTATAAAAAAAATATAATTAGGATTTAGAAAATTCTGATAGTAGCTATTCACGGCCCCAAGTCCAAACTACTAATAAAAAGAAAATCACAATAAGTCAAAAGTCCAGACCTTTACGAGCTCAAGGGCCCTGCCCTTTGCACCCCCGTCGGGCATCTCCCTCGGGTCTCGCCTGCTCATCTGGGAGCGGATCTCAACTAACTCCATCAACAAAGTTCTCATCTAAATACAAAGTATGAGCTATACTCGACACAATTTATTAGTGAGAACTAATTATTGAGGACATTAGCTTTCAGTTATATATAGAGATGACAAATCTGTTAATCCAGTCTCATATAAAAAAGACAATAGAGCAAAACCGATATTAATGTATTTGGCCCTATATGTACCCCTATGCTTGGACATGGTCATGCCAGTCATCAAGCCACTTGTGGACGGTATAGAGTATAGATTAGAACCTTAACCATGGTTCATGGTCCTACTTTTATTAGCCACCTAAAATGGTCAAGTCTTATAAGACCATTCCTTTTATGCACAAGTGGGTTCTGCATGGTGGGTAAGTGACATGCTCGGCAAAGGAATGCCACACGTACGTACATCGGTACACATACTACTGTCGACAGCACGAATCTATTATCTATCTGTTGCATAATGGATTATGCGCTTAGACGGACAAATTAAATGGTAGTTCAAACATATAGATCAAATCATTTCATCATAAGAGGATGCCACTCAAAGACAACTTATAGTATAAATATATGCAATATTTGTTACACGGCCCGAGAATAAAAAAAGGGAGTTTATTCTTTACATATTAATCGGGCTAAGCGATAATTTATAATAAATGAATTCGATATTATATTTCAATTCAAAATCTTAATCACCTCCCAAATCTTAATCATTCATATATATATATATATATATATATATATCAATGACCTAAGTGATAACTTATAATAAATGAGTCTGATACAACATTTCAACCCAAAATTTTAACATATTATATTTGAAAATGTTATATTTATAAATTTTTTGTTTACAAACTACACTAAGTATGACCGGTCATACCTAGTGTAATTTATAAAAAAAAATTATAAACACATCTTTCCCCGTTATATTTATACAAGATTTTATTACTCATGCTTGAATTCTCAAAAATATTATCAACAACATAACTACTGTGATTTTCCTTTGTTATCTGGCTTCTAGATTTAGACTGAAAAATTAAGATTGACGCATTTTTCAAAAAGAATTTGAAAGAAGAAGTTCTTATATACAAAGAAGCAAAATATTCTTTAGACAGTAAATTACAAATTGATAACTTCTAATTAAAAAGTTCATCAAATAGATTCTTAACAAATTATTTGACAACAACTTTTTTCAGTTATAGTTATAAACTCTGCACCATACACTAAATTAAGAATACCTCAGTTTGAATGGACTTACTTCTTAATTTGTTAACACAGGCGGAAGGAGGGAAACTAGGGGAAATTATGGTAATTTCGTCCCGTTTCAAGTTTCTAATATTATATAAATGTTAATAAAAATGCTAAATGATACGAATTATATTTCATGAAATAACTCATTAATAGAAAAAATAAATAAAAAGGAATTGTTTACTCATTTACTTTATAACTATTTCTTAATCATAATTAATCATTAAATATTTGTAATTAACAACTTTCATTCAAAATCTTTTGAATCAAATAGCGATGCTGCACGGCCCCCATGTTGGTAATTCAGAAGAAAATTACCTATTGTCGAAGGGTCAAACAATAAATTTTCAAAGGCTTGAATATAAAATTTCTATACAAATACAACGTAACCCTCTAAAAGTAATATGTTTTCATTAAAATTTAATATTTGCAGCAGAAATGATTTGATGACTCTAAAGGGACTATAAATAGTTCAAAGTTATTCATTTTTACTAAAATTTTATAAATCTTAAAAAGAAAAAGTAATAATTAATGAATTTTTTTATAGTATAACGATTCTGTTCTTTTAGAAGCCTTTTGTTTCCGCCCCAAACTACCAGCAAATTTTTAGGTCTATCCTCCTTTGTTTCTCTTCCCTATTGTTTTAGGCTTTTATCTTTTGGATATGGATTTAAGCATTTCCTTTGCATTTCCGTCTTGCGTCAAACTACCACTAAATGATTAAATTGTATGCATGTTTTTCTTTTGTCTTCACCATTCGGTATTAAGTTTCAACAACATTCTTTTTTATATTTTGTTTTAACTTTTGCTTTTTTTCTAAATATATTACAAGCTTTTAATTTCACCCTTTCTCTCTTCTTCTTGATGAAAGAGTTAATTAATTTCACCATAACCATGTTGATTGTTTTCTCTGTTATTTACCTTGCCCAAATTACCTAATTTCGTTACTCCAAAAACTCCACCTATATTTTTTCTGTGGTTATATGCAGCAATATACTGAAAGTGGTTGAGATATGAGCGATGAACAACCGATTTTGTATCATCTTTGTTTTATAGTGAGGTGTGGGCAAAGGATTTGTGTAGGGCATAAACCAATCCGTAACACTAATAATCTCATACTTTCATAAATTTACAAGTAATTAATTAAAATAAATTTTACCCAAATAACAATAGTAGATCATAATCTATAATCTATAAAAGAAAAGAAGATAAAGGGGAAGAAAAGTCAACTTAATTACATGTACATCTACACTTTCAGGTTTCAAGTGTCAACAACATCACATGTAGGATTTTTTTTCCCCCTTCAAACTGATATTAACTTCTCATGCATGATAAAACTAATTAAGAAATCAAATGGATAGTTAATTTTAATTCCATTTAAAAAAAGTAGTTCATATATATATAGTTAAATTTAAGGGGAAGAAGAGTGCTGTCATTATTAAAATTAATTGGAATCTAAGGAATCGTCAACAATAGGATGAGTAGGTGGTTCACACCCACTATCGAGTATATATATTATCATTGTTGTACTCCCCACTTCACCAACCATATGAAGTATGGTGTTTAAATTCGAAGCAAATCATTTTTATTAGATTACAAAGTGATTTTCTAAGCCAATAATTACACAGTTGCATGCCAAATTCCCTTCACTAATAAATTGTTTAATGTTTTATCATTTGCGGTTAGGGCATCACAGGTCCACGGCAACGCCACGCGCTACAAAGCCATCTTCCCCTATGACACTTTTTAGCATAGCTTAGCCTTTTCTTTTGAAACAGTCCAAGCTAGCTACCTTTGAAAGTTAAGATTTTTGCCTTAAAAATGTGTTAGTTAAGAGTATTCAACTTAATCAGCATATCACACTGTTATGATTTAGTGGTCCTCCAAAGTTTGTGTTGTTAATTTTTTATTACCATTTGATCAAATGGATGGTGCTTTTTTGTGCTAATTAATTTGAAGAATAAAGGAAAAGATATAATAAATTTTTATTAGAAACATAATAAGGATAGAGAAAAATTAATAAAAAGAAAAGTAAATGGCAATTTTGGACTCTGAATCTGAACGTTATTGTTTGTTTTTTTCGAGTTTCCCTTATTAGATTCAAGATAATGTGAGAATCCCCATAAAGTTGTTTCAACCCCCCCAATGGTATGCATTATGTACTCTTTTTGTCATAGAAACTGAAGAATATCTATGATGAACATGAAACATTTAAAGGAGAAAAGATTAAATTTGGCTTGAAATCTATTTCATTGAAGAGGATGAGACAAGCAATGAGAAAAAGTTAAAAGAGAGAAACATGTACGAGACAAAAGAAAAACATAGAGAAAGGGATTAAGATATTGGAATGATTTGGGGTTGAAGGTAAGATCATGAGCAATATTCAGCAACTGGTATTAGCCTTTCAAATAATTCAAGGACAAGCTCTTGGTTTAGAAGCCAACCAATTTGACATCAAGGTTTTAGAGAATCCGAGAAGAGATCTTTTGTCCACATCTTTGGAGACCATGCCTTATATCTCTAACCTTTCTTTCCATTAAACCCATCATTTGACCTCTTTTTTGCTGCCTCAAAAAATTAACAATGCCTCCATTGAAAGTCTCCACTGAGTAATTTTACTAAAATTTCATTTGAGAAATTAAGTAAAATAAATTTAGAAAATTTAAAAGAAAAAAAAAAGGGGGATCTCGTTAGATTAACATAGCCACTTTTTGACTATTGCTCCCACGCAAATGTGATGCATGAAGATAGTGTCAATTTCAAGCAAAAAGAGGCCCCCACAAATAAGAGAGAGAAATCAAAAGTCCTCTTTTCTCTTGCCATGAATAAGTGTAGAAATTCTGCCTTTGCTTTCAACTTCAGCTTCATTTTCTTCACCCTCTTTAATTGCTTTTTCCCCTTTTCCCCATATCTCAGTGTAAACATCCTCATCAAATACTACACCTTCCCTCTCTTGCTCAATGATTTTGCATGAGGTATCACACTTCAACCATAAAATTATATTCAAAAAACATGAAGAATGGTACAAAAAATATATATAATAAAAGGAGAATTATAATAGTGAAAGAAAAGGGAATTAGATTAACAAAGTAATTAAACAACAACAAAAAAAAAGAGAAATCTTATTATCTGATGTAAACCCCCCACACCATTAAATTCTAAATAAAAAGTAACCCCCACCCTTTTCCTAAAAATTACAGAATGAAGCCATTGGCAATGGCTCTATTGGTATTGAAATGGGTAGTTTCATACACAGGCAATTCTTCCCTATACCTCTCAATTCCAATAGCTGAAAGATTATCCAATTCAAAAAGATCAGAACTTGAACAACTAACTGCATCATCATCATCTTCATCTTCATAATGCAGATCAAAGTCAACTTCATTCTTTTTCTGATAATTCTTTAACAAGTCTCTAGCTAACTCCTCCACCCTGCGACTCTCCTGCATCACATGGAACCTAAGCTCCTCATTGCTGTTCTTGCCATAGTTTTTCTTCATGGCAGAGTTAGCCACCAAACCCTCTTCACCTTCATGCAGATTTTTGTGCCCACATGGCCTGCAATCTTCATCCACTATCACACTCTCAGTGCAAAACCTCACAGACCTTTTGGCACCTGATCTTGAAGAAGGGGTTTTGCTCAAACAAGACCTTGTAAAGGAAGAAACTGATGAGCAAGTTGAAGAAGGTTGTGCTGATTTAGAATCCACAACAGAAGTTGAAACCTTTGCCTTTTTAGCATTTCCACCTGAATTGAAAAGAGAATTGAGAAAGCTAGCAAGTCTAGCACCTGGTGAAATGGGTTGCTTTGCTTTCTTCAATTCACCATATAAGATTCTCAGAGCTTTGGACTTTGTTTTCCCAAAGCCATTCTCATGCTTTGGCTTTTGGGTCTGAGTAGAATGGTTCCTATGGCCATGGAGTGCATCAAAGTTGGTTTTTTTCTCAGAAACACTTGTTCGAATTGGCTTTGGCCTCTGCACTCCATAGAAGGACTCTGACTCTGATGAAGAAAACCCACCAACAGAACTTGACTCTGATGATGTTGAGGTTGAATGCATGGAGAGTGTATTTGAATTGCTTCGTGTTCTTCTTTCAATTTCTGTCAAGGAATTCCTTCCTCTTACTACTTTCTCGCTCCGATTCTCTACCTTTCTGGCTCTGCGAAAGTTGAGTTTTTCAGCTTCACCTTCCTCTCTGAAACAGTTGTTCTGTTTCTGCTTCCTCATGGTTTCTCTGTAGAATATGAGTTTTTCTTCTTTCTCCTCCGTTTGTCCTTCGTCAATGGAACGGTAGATTACGTCAAGAAGAGTGGAAGAGAAAGATGGGTTTTCTCTGTTATGCTGTTTCCTGTGATCTCTTAAGGGTTTATCCCACTTTTCCATTGGTATTCTCTTTTCTTTTATATAGAGAAGCTATGAAGGATGAAAAAGAACAGAGGAAAAAAACAGAGATGAGGGGAAACAGGGGATTTTGGAGGGTATCAATTACTTGGCCTTTGTTGTCTGCTTCAAATAGTACTATTTATGAAAAGCTCTAGTAGAGTTTTTGAGAGAGAGAGAGAGAGAGAGAGAGAGAGAAGTTATGAAGAGAAAGAAATGATAGTAAGAAAGGACAAGGCCATGGCTATATTTCCAAAACAAGGACTATGAAGGAGTGGTGTGTTTGGAAATCACTGTGGGAGGAGGACATAAGAGGAAAGAGGAAGAAAGAAACCAGACATGGGAATTGATGAGTGCTTGATGGTGTTTGGAGAGAGACAGTAATGAAAGCCAAATTCCACGCTTCATAAGAGAAGAGAAATCAAAGAATGATTGAGAGAGAGAGAGAGAGATTTGGAGAGTGGTTTCTTTTGGATGCTCTTATAAGGGTTGGGGGGGAGTTGAGCTAGCCAGGCTGTCAATAATGATGTGGAGTTTTACTTGTTTAAAATTAATATCATGGTTATTCAATTCATCTTATTCTTTTCTCTTCTAAATTTTTTCCTTCATCACATGAATTGACATTAGATCCTTACTTTTTCTTTTATATTAAGAAAAGAAAGGAAATGTATTGTTTTGTAGGACCATGCAAAGCAGATGTTGATCCTAACAGCACAACCTCTCTATGCAAAGAAGATTCCACTTATGCTTGATAATTTTTTTGACACCTATCTTAATTTGGATGTGGATAATAGTTTTCTTTATTTAGTTTATGAATAATGTAGTTTTGGTCGAGTTTAACTTCACTGTAAAATCTTGATTATTACCATAATCCCTTGCCTCTTTCTTTACTTAGTGCCTTTTTATGATTAAAAAGGGTTAGTGTTTTGGGTCTTGATTAGAAATGGGAAATGAGAACTATGAACATGTGGAGGAGCACTTCAAACACAAGGTATTATACTGTATAATGAAGCATGGTCATGAGAGTACTGTTTGCACAGTCAACTAATGCGGCTCCAGAGCTAAACTTTGGGCTTTAGGAATTCATTTATTTGTCTGAATTCTAATGCCCGTGACCGCCTTCAAATTAAAGCTGTTCTCCTTTTGCCTATTTTAATGAACTGCAGAGGTACAGGTATATCTTTTCAAAGAGAATGTTGGGTATGGAGTGGGGGATTTCTTGGTGTGAAATACAATTATTTTAGTTTGCTCATAATTCTCATTTAGTAGATGTATGTTTTCCGACTCACGCGGGTCTCCTTTTTTGTATTGCTGCAAAAAATTTGTTCTGCAGGTGATAGCAGAAGTATATTTTCCAAATATATATAGTGAAAGTTTTTTTTATATTGATGTAAGAATAAGAAATTTTACACTTAATTTTTAAGAGTATCCAACTACTATAATTTATTAAATTATGTCATTCATTAAGTACTATTTTTCAAAAACCTTTGTGCTCTTTGTGACAAAAGGGGATTAGTCTCGTCCAAAAGAACGATGACATTATCAAAAAAACCAAAACAAAAAAAACTATAGGTATTAGATTTATGTAAATCAATGATAAATGTAAAATTTCTTATTCTTATCTTAATCTAAAATTCTTATGTCTCATATATATATATATATATATATTGAAAATTCAAGTGGTTGAAGATGAAGTGGCTACTTTTGAAGTAACTGAAAGAAAAACAATGACTGAGGTAGGAGAGTCAGAGTTGAAAAAAGAATTTCTCACTTCTTTCTCTCATTCAAAATCGAGCATAAAACTTTCATCTCGCACGACTCTTAAGTGTCAAAAGAAAGAAGATAAGTTTCTTTCTTTTTTGATTACCTTTTTCATGTACGTATAAGATCGAATCCATTCAATTTTGAATTTTCAAAAGGATTACTAATCCTTAACTTTTTGAAGAATCCTTCATCATCAGTGGTTGTGAATGACCAATTTTTTTCAGTCTTTATGATTTGTTTCTACGAAACTGAGGTCGAAAAGATTGAGAAATAGAACTATTTGATTTTTGATTCATTATCAAAAGAATCATCCGGATAATACTTTTGTCGACTCATGCCCTTCTTAAATCTCCTTTTTTTCTTGTTTAATTTTTTTTTTTTTTGGATATAAGTAGGAATTGAACACATAACCTAATACAACTTACTCAAACCCCTCACTATTAGACCAATCCTAGTAGCTTAACCCTTTGCTTTTTATTTTCACTTTGTGCGATTGATTATCAATTTCCAACATCTTTGAATTTCATAGGAGTAATATTTTTGTCTTCAATTTAGCCATGTATTCCATAACTCTTCACATCCTTAAAATAACTATCTTTTGAAGAATAAATAACACAAAGGCTTTTACACTACAACTAAATAAAAAATTTATCATGTTTTTTGTTTTATTCTTTTAGGAGGGAGAAAAATTCTTCAACAGAAATGGGGTCACTAGAAATAATGCATTAGTATTTAGAGGGAGCTAGTTCCAAGCCTGTAATCAACAGCATAAGTGCCTTGCCTGAATTATAAAAGCAAGATCAATGGGCATATACCGTTGCTCTTGTTATTTATAGAAGCTCACTCGATTGACTAGACAAAAGAAATAGAAACAAAAATGCTCCTCCCACACCCACCAATAGTCAAATTTGAACATGTCCACACCTACGTGTCTATGTTTGTGAGGGCTAGGGATGCAGGGTAAGAGAGAGAGAGAGAGAGAGTTAGTGGGAGCATGGTGTGCTTATTTGCACAATGATTGCTCCCGTGGCTCCTAAACTTTATGAAGAGAAAGAGATGGAAACAAATTTGAAACGAAGAAAGCCATTAAGAGATTTTATTAGCACTAATAAAGGATCATAGGAAGAGAATGAGAATATAGAAAGTGAATAAAAGTGAGATTAGTTAAGTTGATAAGCTAGAAAAAGGCACCAAAATAAATAAAAACAACGTGTGTGTAAAATGTTCTTGTATATATTCTTCTTTTTTGGCCCTTCTCTTTCCTTCTGCCTTCCCTTAAGGCTCAAGAAAATATTTCATAATGAAACATACCAGCTAGGCTGCTAATATAATAACACGTCCACTAGCTAGCTAGGTGTCTTCTATAATTATACAAAAGCAGCAACTACTACACAAGCCATATAACAATCATGGGATGTTATGATGATACACGAGTCTCAACTCTCACGTTTCATGTCTAAGAAATTAATAATTTAGTACGTACGAAGTACTTGGCTAGTTAGAAAAATGATTTTCAAATTACTCCAATTTTTCCATACAAAACAAATTGGAGATTCTATTATCATGTCACTCGTATATATATACACAGATATATATAAACCAGTTATGAGAAATTGATTGTAAAATTGATGAGTAATCACTCCAAAATGTACCATCTTAAGAATGAAGGATGTTTAAATCAAGTGTAAGTTAGATTCTCATAAGGAAGAGTACAATGATATCTTGCTTAAGTGAAACTATGGTACATGGCACAACTTCTAGCCAAATTAATTAGCGTTAACTTTTTCAACGGGTAAAATTTAAGGAGAGAAAAAACAATAATGGCATCTTTTCTCTTCTTCATATATGATCATCTTGAGAGTGAGATGCCTCATTATTATCTCCAATTTCTTTTTGTCCTAAACAAAATTTAGCTTAAAACATGCTCTATGTATTTATTTTTTTTAATATATCTACCGTTTTATTGTTTATGGGACTAATACGGTTCGAGCACTGTCAAATTTATTATGGAAGTAATTACAATGTCCGAAACTTTAAGCAATACAATAAAATTAATTTAAAAAAAAAAACAGAAAAGAGAGCCTCTTTTTTTCTTTGTATATTGTGTACAATCCTACAAATGAAAAATTCAGTTAAATAGGAATATGAATTACTATTAAAGAATAATATAAATAATTAAAAAGGACTTAAGCTTTTGAGTTTAATTGATTCTTTACCGTTGTCTACGATCCTACAAATGAAAAATTCAGTTAAATAGGAATATGAGTTACTGTTAGAAAATAATATAAATAATTAAAAAGGACTTAAGCTTTTGAGTTTAATTGATTATTTACCTTTACTAACTAATAATGAGTATATACTAATACAGACGTAAATAAAAAGTAGTTTTACATTAATAAATAACTTTTTATTTTTAACAAGACTGACCATAAGATTAAAAAGTTACATAACCTATCAGATTCATTTTTACAAGTATTTCAAAATTAATGTATAATATGTTTTTTTATAATAATAATAATAATAATAACACGTATGATGTCATATATAATTTAGCCTTGCCCATCTTACTTTCATAATAAAAAATCAATATTCTCACTAAATATGTATTCAATTTTGTTAGATGCTATAGAGAATCTAAAGTAATCTTATGAAAAAGGTTGAGGATTGCTTTCAGATCATGAGGTTAGCAAAAGAAAGTAATTGTGAGGGTTAAGATTCCATTTAGATTACCATTAACCAATATGGGGACCCAAAACCCAGTCATATGCCACATTGACATAGCCTAATAGCCCTCAATTAAGAAAAAGTTACTTGCATAGTGCCCCATGTTTTCATTGCCATCATCCTTCATAAGAACGTACTAAAGTTTATTCCTTGTGGATGTACGCTTCAGTTTCCACCAATGTCATCTCATTCGATTAGACACACCACCACTACGGTATGCTATGGTATTAAACCGTTATAAAGTTATAATTATGCTAGAGGATGATGTATATAAAAAAAAAATTATTCATTAAATTAATTTTAAAATTTGTGCAGCATTCTATCAGAAAAATATTACATATAAAATTCACATATATGAGTCATTTCTTTTTAATTTCATAATCCATATATCATTTTTTTTACATGTTATACTATATCATTATTTTTTTTGAATTCATTATACTATATCATTATGATACTATAACAATGTTTATCAACACGAAAGCAGTTGTTTCCCATAATGCATTTGTTTTTGCCTTTCCGAAACTTTTCTTCTTCTTTTTTTCAGCATAATATCGAAGTGACTATTGTCTGAAACATCGTTGTTGTTAAGAAACCAATAGACCCACGTTAAACACACTTTGTCTTTGAAACACAAAGACAAGAGCGGAGGTGTCCTTCAGATACAAATCAAAAAGATTAACACCAAAGTTCACAAGGTTGGTAGTAAAGATTTAATTATTATAATATAATTTACCCAAAAATATAATTCTATGTAATTTTTTTAACAATTTTTGTAAGAGGAGATTCAAGATCCTGCTAATTCAATTCCTCATAAAACTGAAATATATGTACTTGGGGAGAATAAAATAAAACAGTTGAATAATCTGGATTACAAACTAAAATAAAAGTACTAATAATTCTTATAAGTCATTCTATTACTTCTCATATATTTATAATAAAAATATTCTTCACTATTCTTTTAGTGCTACCTTGAAATGATTATTTGTTTGATATGAGTACGGTTAATTTGTGTTCTTGTTGAATAATTGTCTAGTATTCATCTGAAGCATAATTGATGCTCCAAGAGTCAAATATAAAGTCCTTTTTTCCTATGCCTAATTTGTCTCAATAGGCTAATAGTAAGGTATTTGTTTGATTCGCTTAACAAAATTGCTCAAAATAAAAGAAACACACACGTACGGGGTTGCATGATTTGCTATGCTACGATATGAGACCAAGTTGTCTAGACCACACACACTATGAAATATGGTGGTTTCCACAAGATGGAGATGTGAAATTCGTATCATTCTTTTACCTTTTTGAAAAAGAAAGAGGCTCATGTGACACCTCTCCACACTACAAACACTTTGCAAAGTTGGTTGGTAGCCATTTAGCAAAGGCAGGCCATGCCACCATCATTTCTTCTATAACTTCATTTCAAATCGTGGGTCACCCCCACAACCCTAGCTTCAATCAAAATCATATATTTCTTTGGCCCGTTTTGATCGTTTCCGCAATGCAACCACTTATGATAAATCAAGCATGGAATGCGGCTTGATGCCTATCCGTTTAACTATTTATGCACGATTTTCATATAAAATGATTCAAAATCATTGGAAACTTCATGCTTCATACATCGTTTGTTTCTTGATATCTATCAACCCACTTGATCAGACCAATCCAATATGGATTAGGCTAAATCATACACGGTTGAAAGATGAAGACTTTGGGTTGTAAGCGGTACTTCGTGGGCTAGAGACGTTCACTGTGTATGTGAAGGTTGAAGAATACTGTTGGCGCACTGGGAATGAATGGGGTACCTACAAAGACACTATGATGCTCAAGTTATTATCAGTGCTAGGTTTATGTTATATTTAGTGGGAATCAGATGATCATACCTGGGTTTGTACCCTTCATATTTATAGCAAGCTTTACGCTGCCTTTAGTAGGCGGCATGCCTTCTTGTTGGTTGTTATGGGCTGCAGACTTGTTTGTCTCAACTAGTGCCTTTCTGGCTATAAGTCTATATATTTATGTCTTCGTAGAGTGGTGACAAGCTGAAAATGTCTTACGTGCGTTGGTCTTTATGGGCGGTGGGTTTCAGCCTGTAACAGAATCTTTCCTTAGCCTTTAAGTTATATAAGGCGGCTTAGCATAATCTGCGCAATGCCTACATCTCGCGTTATGAGGCAATTGCGCTTATTGGGCCCTTTCTGGGCCTCGAACTTCGTGGGCCTATGTAATTATCCAGATCACCACTAAAGAGGTTTACAAATGCCAAGTAAATGTAAAGATAATTTTGCCTATCTTCATCAAATTTTGGTATATATACAAGAGTTTGAGCATGAAACCTTCACATCCATACTTTCCTTGTGTTTAGGCTCTTATATTACATTAAAGCTCATGATAAATATATCTAACTCAAACAAAATAAGATGTACTTGAAACTTATGACAAAACAGTCATTAGTCGATGATTATTATAGTAAGAAAAATAAATGAACAAAAAAGAGATTACATGATTACACAACGGGGGAACCTTAATATGAGGGTGCTCAGAATCTTTGGAAGGTGAGAGATGTTGTCAATTTTGACTTGATAAAGCTGATGATTTTATGCTTCAAAATGCGATTTCCAGTGGAACAACTAAATTATTTCGTCATTAATTTAGCCATAAACTATCTTATGCTACTTAATGCGACTTGTGTGCATGAAATCATATATGCAATCAGTTATATTCACTGAAATCATCTTTTCATCTCATGGATAATTTTTATTTATATTGACTCTAATTACCTCTTTTGAGACGAGTCGGTCTCTGAGTATTCTCATAAGTTTCAACTTTTTAAGCCGTTTACGAGATTAATCTCATGGATAAAATTACTTAATTACGTATCACTACAACTATTTATTTTATGGGTTTAACATTTTTGTTTTTATTCTATAATTTTTTTTTCTGCCACATTCACGTAAAAGTGAATGAATCCCACTAACTTCTTTTTTAATTTCTTTTTAAAATGTGAACCATTCACTATTACGTGAGTGTTATTATATATATATATATATATATATATATATATAATTTCTAGTTGGTACTTAGTAAACGGTTATAGTTATACAGACTAAATAATATGATTAAATAAATTTTAAAATATGTACTAGTAGTTTTATAGAAGTTACCAACATTATGGAGATCTAGTTAGAACAATGTGAGGAGATTGTAAAGTTACAAAAAAAGAAAAACTTAAATATATGGAGTAGCACAGTTATTATTATGGGTTTTATAAAAGTTATGTTGTAGGAAAAGTGATTGTGTAATGTTATAGAGATTCGTTTTGCGTGCCTTAATTTTTTATTTATTTTTTTGTTTTAAAAAGTGTGGGCCCCACAAAATGTTGTGAGAGTAGGAAAGTTTGTTGTGTTATGTTAAAGGATAAAACGAAAACCCTATTATTATATATACCATCTAAAAACTCAAAAAGCAAAAAGTTAAAAAAAAAAAAAAAAAAATGTTTGCGCAAATAGTCATTGTAATTTGTAACATATTACAAGGTAGCATATATAAGAAGGGTTTTACCGTAGATAATTGTCTTCTGCTATACATACATAGATGAATGTGCATTCTCTTTTTTGTTTTTTTAAACAATGGAACCCATAGCTGAATTTGTTAGTGCAGGAAATCCAACTTCTCACAAGTAAAATGAGAAAAATAAATTCCATATAAGAAAAGTGTAAAACCGTGAAATCTCAAAAGCAAATTTATGTGTGCTGAGGCTAAAGCCCTTTAATGTCATGGACCATGGTAATGAATTTGAATATGTTTCTTAGAGGAATACCAGAGCAAAAGCCTAGCTAGCACCCTGAAAGAATAATTTGGAAAATAGCACACAACTATTTGTTTAAGGAGTCAGTATCAGAACGTGCACCGGTCCTACTGCTACTACCCTTGGGATGAGATACAACGAGGTCTAAAACTCTCTATAAAGAAGGGTTGTCCCTATAAACAAAGGGTGAAGTGATCCTGAGATTTCAACAAAAGGGGGTTGATAATACAAAAAGAAAAGCAACACCAATCCCGAGGAACAACTACACATAAATTTTAAAGTGCGGATTCTGTCCTCTCTCCATTCTCTTTGTTAAAGAGAATCAAAGTACCCCCTCTTCAGTTCCTTTTGTTTCATCTAACCAAAGAAAATTTTGACCAAAAAAAAAAAAAAGACTCTTGTTTTTCGTTCTTTATATTTTTTTTCCACCTTTTTTAAAAGGAGGGAAGGTGATTGAGAAATGTAATGTTATTTATTTCTTTTCTTTTCTTGGTAGTTAAAAATGTTATTTTGTTTACACTGAACATTTCTTTGATACATGGAAGTCTATTATTTCGTCACTATATTTTTCCTTTTACAATTACCAATAACCTGTGGCAGCTAAAGATAGAGGAATTAAAAACCATTTTCAACCAACTCACCTTTCAACCTTGCAACTGAAGCAACCCTCAAATGTAAACCATAACTAATGAATCTCTAAACTCTTTTCTCTTTATTTTGTTAATTATTTTAGCAAACCTCTATCTTATTTAAACATGAAATTTACACAAGCCTCCATTAAAACTTGTAAAAATACTCTTACACTAATCTCTTGATTTTTATAATTTTTAAAGTAGAGCACGTCTGTGCAGATATCTAGAGTTTTCAATCTTACATTTCTCCCTTTAGAAATTAAAAATTATAAAATTACAGCCAAATAATGTCATTTTTTTAACTCAAATATAGACAACATTAAGTAAGGACGAGGTAATTAACTGAACAAAGTTAGGTACTGCGTTACATGCACATACACATAGCTTGCAGTAGATGACTATGGTGTTGTCTAAGTGACAGTATGGTGTCAATTTTCAATTGAAATTGGCAGGAAGACTTTATTACAAGTGACTTAAGGGTTATTATCGCCAGATATATCATTAAAAACACAGCACATCCTGTTAGGGAAAGCCTTTCAGCATTATCTGAAAGAAGGGGTTTTAGGAATCACTGAAATTTAACTTTCTGAAGTCAAAACTCAGAATAATCCCCAAACCTACTCTGCAAACAAAGGAGATTGAAAATTTAATGCCTCTCAATGCATTTTGTTAAAAGAACATAAGTTAAGTCATTCATTTCACAATGAAAACTGCGATTTTTCTATATCTACTTCAGTCCCTTATACACAAAGGGTTAGATTCCACTTTTTTTTTTTTATCCCGTTCAGAAATTTGTTGTCCAATTCAGGTGGCTCAATTGGGGCTGCTGATATCCACCAACCTGTCCTCCAGGAGCAGCTGCAGCCACCCCAACTCCAACGTTATTGCCAATTGCTGGTCCTAGATGATGAGGACTAGCAATAGCAGCTGGCTGTGGAGGAGTATGATACATACCAGGGAATTGCATGTGTGAAGACTGAGCTGCAGCTGCATTGAAGGAAGCATGACCGGTGTGCGAAGGCATGTACGCCGCATGAGGCGTTTGCCCCTGCAAGTTATAGTATGGAGTAGATTGCATGCCAGGATGATCCCTTGGATTCTGTAACCAGATTTCTGATGTCTCAGCCTGCGAACGGGAAGATAATGACAAACTAAATTATAATCTAGTAATAAACACCAATCAGGAAGGAAAAGGTGGTTTGGAAGCAATAAATGATCCTATTGATGATATAATCTAGAGAGATTAAGATATATTTATGACAACATAAGGATGAAGCTTTATTCATCTAGCCCTAACGATATTCTATTTCCTAGAACATTTTGTGCATCCTATTTTGACTGAGGACACGACCACAAAGAGAATCAAACATGATTTATCATGATTATCAATCAGGCTGTAATGTTGGGTGCTTGCATGGTTTAAATGGTTAATTACGTTTTAGTCTATAACCTTTTTGTTACAAAAATAATAATAATAATAATTACTACAATAATAGGTGCACAGTCATGGGTTGATTGAAACTAAAAAATATCATAACAAGGTATTTGATGACATGTTTGTTAATGCTTCTTTTTGGCTGACATTCAAACAACAATTTGTTGTTATACTTAAAACACTACACAAGCACATTACCTGAGGATTTTGGACATAGAGATTATCTTTGTATTTGACTCGAGATGAATCTTCTAAAGCCGTTGCACCCCCAACCACACCAGGAGATATCATGGCATAGCCAGTTGGATTACCAAAATTTCCAAACCCTGTAGGGCTTCCAGCAGGGACAGGCTTGAACTGCTGAACTCCATATTTAAGGCTGTTGGCATTAAGATGGGAACCACCTCCAGGCATCAACAAGTAACTGTTGCCATTTGTTGGGTGAGGATAAGGAGCATTACTTGAATATCCAGGCATGGCCATAGGTGGAACATAGACCGGGGACAGAAACTGACGATGATATGGCATAAGGTTAGCAAAATGTGAAACATGAACTTGTGGATACATCTGAGCCACAGGAGGTTGCTGTTGCACCATAGCAATTGAGGATGCAGGAATACTATTGGCAGCATGGGAGCTCAAACCCTGCACTCACCGAGAAAAGTGTCAACAAGGAGGTAAGAACTGAGGATGCCAGTTGGAGGATCAATCCCCCATAAATATATTATACAATCAAGCAAATGACTTTAAATACACTACTAATGTATAAATTCATTATACCTCCTGAAAAGATAACAAACCCTGCCCTCTTAAAGTTTCATCCATTGTGGGTCTGAAATAAGGAATGTCATAACCAGTTGGAGGATCGTATGCCTGTTTGGAAACTCAAAAGTGAGAATGGAAAGACAATAACACACAAAACAGATGCAACTATATATCAGCAAGAAATGTCAACAATAAAAAGTGGGCAGGATAAATGACAGTCAGTAGAAGATTGTCAACCTTTAACCATAAAATATATATATATAGCAACATAAGTCTGTATTATCAATCCCTGAAACTATTGGAATTAATTTTCATTATAAGCACTTACTCCTATAATATCAGCATGATACATATTGAGTGTTTCTAGTTCAACCATCTAAGACTCTTAAACCACATTACCTGTGGTTATTTATGTGAAGCAACAGGCTTTCTGGGCTCGTATGACTAAACTATGAAATAAGGTGATTATAAGATAGCACTAAAGTCTTTTGTAGAGCATTTATGAAAATGGCAGAAGCTATTTTATGTTTATATACAACTACAAAAAACACTTTTTACTCTAAAAAGTAATTTTATGTTGTTTGGATATGACAAAATAAAAGTAATTTTTTCTTAGGTCTCTTTGATTTTTAGATTGAATCAATCTTTTTCTTTTTTTTTTCATTTTCTACTATCAATTCTTTAATTATCAGTTCAAGTAGTTCTCAGATTTCTTTTGCTTCAAGCTGTATGTTTTCACTCTCCACTACTCCAAGTATTCCAATATTTCAATTTCACTTTTTTCTGCCATATTATAAATCACTGAATATAAATACGTTATTGGTCTCTAGTATCATCAACAAATATATATATATATAAAAACACTGCAAAACCATATTTGCAGACAACAGAATGAACTACCATGCTTCAACCAAATTGGACCCGACCTAACCCTTTCTGGCCACAATCAGTGATCAATGTCATATATCAATCACACCATAAAGGCAAAACATTGAAACATGACCAGTGGTTCTGTTATCAAACCCCTCATTGCTGAGGGCCCCATTAATAACTGTGTAGACCCCTTAAGGGAAATTTCAATGACAATCAGACTTGGGTGGTAGAATTAAAAGAAGTTACTCACCGAGAAGCCCGGCATATCATGGGAATCTTGCTGCTGTGACTCTGAAGGTGCATAGGACGGACTTCTATCACGTACCAACCCAATACTGGCATAACTGTCCAGATTCTGAGGGCTTGAGGAGTCTTTGTTATCAGGCAATTGTTGCTCAGAAGTAGCACCAGATGCTGGAGAGTTCGACCCAGTACTTCTAATGTTATCATCCCGTAAGTCTATCTGTTTGCTCCCAGGAACATCATCAGTGGACAACTCTGGAGCAGATACTGTCAAGCTGAAATCAAATGTTTAATAACATTACAACTAGGTTATAGAAAATAAGTACTAATAATCATGTTCTTACTATCTGTATATGAGCATAACAGAGTTTATGTCCGAAAAATTATTTTCTAAACTTATGAAAAAACCACTACCAAAATAATAACAAACTTCAAAAAAATTAATAATAAATACTAAGTCTAAATTCTGCAGCTATCCCCCCAAAATTAACTCTTCAACATATAATAAAAGAAAGAAACAGCACACAAACAGGAATGCCAACCTTGCAGTCGATTCTTCACTTGATTCAGCAGCTTCTATTAATGGATACTTCGATTGATGCATCGAAGAATCAAGTTCTGTCCCAATGGTACCAAAGGTCAGCTGACAGCGATCAGTTTCCGTAACTCGAATATGCTGTGCTATGATGACATTTTGGGTATCATATATATTTAATTGGGAAATTTTATCTTCAATCTCTGCAGCGTCTGATTCTATATCTATAGAATTTTCAGCGGGAGGTGAAGCAGCTTTTTTAGGAGTTCCAATCACTCCGGGAGTATTGCTGTTCGACTTCTGACTTAATTTAGGTTTCCACTCTTTATTCTGCTGGGAAACTGCAACAAAACTCATCAATTTTCTAGGCATGGATCAAAAAGAAAAACAATATAAAATAAATCTACCCAAAAATTAAATCTTCTCATTGAAGTGGATTAGAAAAATGGATACTTTTACCAATTATGAGACTGTGTTCAAATAAAAAATGCAAAGAAAAAAGCAATTGAAGGGTTACTATATACTAACAATAGGCATTGCAATAAGCAAAGAGCTTTGAAACAATAAAATAATTCAGCTTAAACAGAAGCATAACAAATTCTCAAATTCAATCATTTCAGATTACTAATATAAACCTCCGTTCTAGCTGAACTAAAATGCTTCATGTGCCCCAAAAATAAATAAATAACTAAATACCTAATTGCAAGTTATAACAGTTCCACTCTGAAGTTATGCAGTACTAAAGATCATTAGTCTTGAAGATTATCATGAAAACCATAATTTGGTAGTGCCATTTTAAAGATATACCTCTCTGATGTCCTGCGGGTTGTTGATGTGGCCTACTATTATATTGATTGTTCAAGGACGGCCTGCTAACTGTCATGCCAGGGAATGAAGGTTCAGTTACATTAGTTCGACTAAATTGTTCAGTCTTCGAGATGGCACCAACTGATTGAAATGAGTCTGCAGATGTACCATCTTTTCCCACAAGAGAATTATCGTAAGAACTACTAGGAACAGATGACTGTTTCACTTTGTGGTCTGCAGACTGTCGCCGAACACCAACAACTCCAACTTCACGCTTAATGGCTCCAACAACACCTGATGATCGGGAATCAGGAGAGGGCACATGAACTGGATCTGTTGAAGAGGAATACACCCCAACAACAGAACTGGTTGATGCCACTGTTGCCGAATTTTGATGAATGTTGTTAGGCTTAATTGGTTGCACCCGTGCTGCAGAATTCAAAATCATGCCTTGCTTCTCCTCAGATGTAAGTTTTCTGTCACTGACATTTGAGACAACATCTTTTGAGTATCTAGCATGTGAATCAGAAGGACCATTTAGAGCATGAGATGAATTCCTAGCACCAGATGACCTTTGATTGGTGGAAGCTGCTGATGAGCTGTAACAAAGAAAATAAATGAATTATATACAAAACTCAATTATCCAATAACTACATGACAAATACTGCATTTATATCATAAAAGATATCTTAAAAGTTATCGGTAGCACCACCAAGCCCGGTTCACTTTCATTCCTGGTGCTATCTATTATCAGACAAAACCTTCCAGGTTTCAGTAATAATCGAAAACAATTGGAACAGATTCATGTTCCAAGTTTCTATAATATTAGTATCTAAAACTCTATTTTTTTTCATTTCATTGTTTTGCACAACCGACAAAAGTGTTTTTTTCTGGTCTTCATGTGTGGCACCACAGACAATGCTGAATAAATGTATTGCACTTAATTTCTATTACAATCTGTTCTTACTTATTTAGACTATTTTGAGGCCATAATAACTGTTTTCATTTTGTTTTTCTTGTACAGAGAGAATGAATGTGCACTCTGATTTCTGTTGCATGTACAGATTACACACTCGCTCCTACCAGCTTGGCTTTTGTCTTTGACTACCTTAAATAGAAAAATTATAACAATATTCAATTTACTCTATAATTATATTACCAAGAGGGGTTTATTAACTCTCATCATGTGACTCATATCTAACGCCTTCTTGCCTACATAAACTCTTCAACTTTCTATCTGCAGCAGCATAACATGCACCAGACAAAAATTTCGGTTTGCATAAATCCCTATCCAGGTTTACATAATTCATGTAATTTCTATTAGTTAAGTAATCTTTTGCTCTTGGAATTGTTTCCACAACTCAAGCCCGAATACTTTACTTTCACCTCTAACATAGAAGCAGTTCTGAACAACAGAATCTAACCCCAAATGAAGTAGGGGATGTGCACGCACGCACGCACAATTACTGACAGCCAACCAAACCTTCCAAATCCAGGTAATATAAAAATCAGAACATACCCCTTTTCAGATGTGTTTACAAGTAATTGCTCATTGGAGGATGTTGAGTGTTGCAATGAAGGAGGCTTTACTTCTTTATAGATATGATTTACTCTGTTGTCTCTGACAACACGGAACTCTCTGCTGATACCTGAACAGTTAGCAAGAAGTTAAAGATCAGCTTATATTGTAATGATGATGACCGTACAAGAAAAAACAAGTGATCCATCTAGTTATTTGAAAACATATGCAAACGAAGTTTTGCTACCAAAACCAGAAATTATTCCAATGCAGTTAATTTTAGTTTTGTGATTGATAAATAACTAAAATATCCCCTATCAATTGGTTTCATATATATAAAAAAAGACAGTCCTTCTCCCTCTGAACCAAAAGAAACAGAAAGATAAATGACAAAAATAGCACAAAACCAGAGCGTTCGAAGTAAAAAAGCATGTCTTACCTATTGAATGAAACAGAAATGCAACATAATTTGAATTTATATTTAGGGCCTTCACCCACGCTATGTTAGTCACTATTAGGTCATATTCCATAACAACAATAATAAAAACAATAGACAAAATTATGGGTTATAAATTCATTAAAAAGAGTTCACATTTGAATTGACAATCTATACATCCAAAATGAATGCTCATTCTGACAAAGATATTTATAAGGGCATCACACTTTAATCCCTCAAAATAAGCACAAAATAAGAATATTACCAGGTAAAGTGTTCCGAGAATAGTTTGTTCTTCGAAGAACATTACGTTCAGATGGGATATGAGATTTCATTCCTTGACCAACATTCTCAGAATGCCTCCTTGGGTCAGAACCCTTGTTCCCAATATTCTGAGGCTGCAATAATAGATACTTGTTAGCAAACTACCGATAAAAAAACCACTACTACATGTTACCATGGATTTAATAAGCAATCAAGAAAAGCATACGAGAGGTGATACCTCCTTCTTTCGGTCTCTCCTTCTCCTCACCTCATGGAATGGATCTGAATAACAAAACCACAATGTACATTAGGAGAATATAACTTTTCACTGTTTAATTATCTTTCAAATCAGTTGTTAATTTGGAACATGGTCAAAACACAATTAGAATAGGAGAAGCAATCTGACATAAAATGCAAGTATCAGTTGCAAAATCACAAAAATGGTTCAAAACAATGACCCAGATACTTCTCCTAATGTAAACAACCTAATTATTGCATTGCACGCCAAAGGGCACTCAGTGAGCACATAAATGCCACTCACTTTCTAGAAATATCCATTTCAGCACATTAATGAAACATATTATATTTGAAATATTTAAATTAGAGTATTAGACTATATAATGTCCAGGATTTATGGCAATATTAAGCTAAATACTCCTCCCTCAAACCATTGGCACCACCAAATAATCCCATTTGGCATTTTAATACCAAGAAAAATATAAAATTGTGGAGAGATAAATCATATTTTGCAGTGTATATTTCACTCTAGATACTGAAAACACGTATATAATTAGGCTTCACTCCATATACCAGAAAATATGGATTATTCACTGTGTAAACAGGTTTTCAAACAAATAAAATATCACCCTGCCTAAATGCATTTGGCCCTCTGATAATTTCAACCAATATCAATTATTAATTTTGGTCTTCCTCTCTCCTCAGAATGCAAAAGGGTGAAGACATGAGATAAAACCTAGGTGGAAACTAAACTTACATCAATGGAGGAGTGGGGGCAGTGGGACTGGGAAACAGATGGCATATCCTATTGACAAATTATCTAATTTTATATTATATCCCTCTAATTTCTCAAATAAAATATAAAATGGCAATGGTAATTATGTATGGCACATGCTATAATCATTGCCCTAAACTTCACTTTGAGGATGAAGTTACAAATTTTTTAGTAGTGATCAGCTCAAAAATGACGACAGCAACAAACTTGATGGTGCATCGCCCAATTTCATCTCCCAGCCTAAATAAAGAAAGCAAAACCAAATATATGAACAAAAGCAGTCGTGGAGAACCAAAAAAAAATAGGCAATCAAAGAAACATTGGATTTTCAGAACGAAGAAAAAACCACCAGCACCAAGAGGCTCAACTAAGTTTACCACAAAAAATCAAGCTCAGGAAAATCATTCCATAAAATGCAAAGAAATCTTTTGGACAAATCTAACCCCCCCACCCACAAGCATGGATAAAAAATGAGGTGGGGAGAAAAGAACCCCATTAATCCAAAATCAAGCAATAAACTAATACAATTCAAAAACCAAAGAAAAGAAAGGTAGGGTTGATGAAAAACAGTGTGGCCCCACCCACCCCACCTTGGTTGAGCAATTTCTGAGTGGTTTCGTTAGGATCCATGTTTGTTTCCTTAAGGGCTACATAGATATCAGCATCAGAATGATTCCCTACGATTTCCTTGATGGATTGTATGGTTTTGCGCACTCTAGCAGATAGTATTTGTGTGCCAGCGCCACCTTCAGTTCTGGAAACAGGGACCATTGCACCCAAAACTGAGAAGAACCCAGATAATAAAACACCAACACAAAGGTTAAAAATTAAAACTTGATGCAGAATAAGAGAAGGGCAAGGGAAGATTTCTTGGTTTTCTTCTTCTCAATCGAGAAAAATAAATTAAAAAAAAAGACGAAAAAAACAGAAAGCGGCTTTGAGGGCAAAGAACAGAAGCAGCAACAGAGTGAGGGTTTTGAAAACGTTTGACAATGACTTTTTAGTTTGAAGCAAAATTCTTAAATTTTGATTGGTTCATGTGTTGTTGTGCCCTTGTGTTTTGGGCTAAACTACGATAATGCCCTTTGGTTAACCCAAATAATGCGAATCATTAAGGAAGAATTCACCAATAATATGAAACCCAACACGTGGCTATTAATGGCACAATATTGTTTTGTCTCGCGCATGATATAAGCCTATATGTTAATAACATTTTTTATAATATCGTTATTAGGGGTGAAATTGAGCTGGTGCGGCCTACGGCTCGGCTTACGTCAGGTCAGACTTGACTTAGTATATTTCGTAAAATAGGTCAGACTTAGGTCTTAAAAAAGCTTGTTTAATAGAAAAGTTATAGGCTCACTTTCACAAAATTAGGTCTATAAGCTTACAGGCCGGCCTATATTATACTATTTATTTTAGATAAAATAAAATAGAATAAGTATGACTTGAAGAAAAAATAAAAGATTAAATTTAATCAATTGCATTTATTTATAACTTAATTATATTCAATTATATTTTAATAGAAATCTGACTTTATTTCTTACGTAGAAGGAACCACATCTCAACATGTTAGATTGTGTATATGAATATATTAAAAGATATTTGAGAGATGTTATACTTACTATAAACATCATGATGTGTTTGTTAGATTCATGTAGTTATTTTAATTTACATAGTATGAATTTGTTTGTTAGATCTAATGAAATATATGTTATTTAGTTTGAGCATTTTACTTTTGAAATTGACTTAAATGTTGATCGTATGAGTTTTGTTGTAACTCATGATTCTATTTGGACGTTGAAATTATGATTTTTGGTTTAGCAACATAACTTGAATATTTGTAAAGTTGATTTATGAGTTAAAAATTAACAGGCTAACGGATTATGTCAGACCATTTGTTTTTTTATAAACGGGTCAAGTCAGGCTAACATTTAGACTCGTACTAGAGTTAGGCTTAGGCCAGACCAAATTTAAAAAAATGTAGGTAAATTTGAGCTTTTCGAAACAAAGCTTACCCCAGTCCAGCCCACTTTCACTCCTAATCATTAGTTCAATTTTTCCTAATCGTTACTTCAATTTTCTCCCTCTACATTGTTACTTAATTACTATATATTTAAGACTTTATTATTCTCATCGTGTATAAGAAAAAAAAAGCATCTTTTGTACATACAAATTCAATATAAATTTCATTCTATTATTTTTTTTCTCTCTTCCTGACACTAGACCCACCAACATAAATAAATCAGTTGAAAATAATAGTTTTCTCCTACACGAGAAAACTATTACCTATCTATTTATTACTTATAAGTTATAAATATTCAATAGGTTTTAATATTATCACTCAATTTCCAAAAAGTATATATTATCACTCTTATTATTACTTAATTATTTTAGAATAAACTTTAAATAATTTATTCTCCAATATTTTTTCATCATTTAACTCTCATGTAATTATTTTCCATCCACATATATATATATATATAATAGCAAGTTAAAACCTATAATTTCATATAAATTACTCAAATCCGTTATCATTGGACCAATTTAATGGCTTAAATTATGAAAGTTCTAAAACATGCACTTGACACATGATTTTAGGGTGAAAATCATTACCTAACACCCAAATTTATCATTTTGGATGATCGAAAAAAAAGTCAAATCAAAACAGAAATGTATATGTTTCCGTAGAAATGACTTATCTTTAACTTTGCTTAGAGATGTAATCCTCCTCAATCAAAATACTTGATTCTTAAGTAGGTCTTTACATTTTTATTTTTTTTAGTACATAGGTCTTTACACTTTAAATGGGGAAAAAAGAGATTGATGTGATATATTGGGATCATAAATCTATTATGCTTTATTTATTATTGTTTGATTAGGCTTCCATTATATCTGATTGGGCCGATATAATATATCCATCCATTTAGCCCATATTGAAAGCCTTATAAAATTGATCACTTAATTTGTTTAATAAATTACATAACATAATATAATTAGAAACAAATTAATTTGATTAATTTTAATCTATTTTCTTCATTTTCAACTATTTTAAGTTCGATTCTCTTATAAATATGCAGATTGGTGTTGGAACACTTTGTTTATTGTTCACTCACTGAGTTAAAATAGATAATTAACTACCAAAAAAAATTAGATAATTGATTCAAGGTTTAGATGGGAAAAAAATGCATAAAAATAAGTGATAAATAAATTGAAGAGTAAGTGATTTTTTTTTTTTTTTTGATAACAGAGTAAGTGATTTTTATAATAAACAACATCTGGTCTATTTAAAGTTTACCTTAAATTTTAAAACTCCTGCATTTGAAATAATTTATTCTTTCTATTATTTAATTGAAAGAAATTAAATTTATTATTAAAATTATTCAACTATTCAAGACACGATTGCAAATCAAGAGCACGTGAGCCCTCTGAATCATGTGTGAAAAGAATATGCATGATTATTCGTGAATACTTAATACAATAGGATCTCTTTCTGCATCATTGTTTTGAAAACATCCGCTATCCTTAGAATAGCACATTTTTTTTATATGCTTTACTTTTTCACTCATTAAAATATGAGTTTTATTCTTCTCATGTTATATGATATTTTTTTTACACATTTTTTGATTTTTATACTTATATAGATTTCACACATAACTTTTTTTAATGGAAAAATATTTTCTCCTTTTAAAGTAGAAAATTTTTATCATTTAGTAACTCATAATATAAATGAGGTCCACAAAATAGTGGAGAGAAAAAAAATTAAAGTGAGACCCACTTATGCTATGAGTCACTAACATGAGAAGTATAAAACCCTTAATATATTCTATATTCATTAAAAATTGAATCAACTTATAAAAATAGTTGTATTCGAACATAAATATTTTCGCTATAACAAATGATTATCATCCTATCAATCTTTAGTAAATTCCTCTACGATAGCACTCACAGAAAAAAAAAAAAAAAAATCCTCTACAATAGTCATATCACCTTTAAAGAACGGCTTTCACAATTCAGAAACCAGTTACTACAGGGCATGTTTGATTTCTCTTCACAAAAATAGTTTTTGAATTTTTAAAACAAAAATGTAAAAAAATATGTTTGAAAAGGGTTGTTTTGAAAATAATTCTGAAAATAATGATTATTTTTTTGTTTTAAAAACTAAAAAACCAGAATAACTTAGAGATGTTCTTAAATGTTATTTTTTGGTTTTTCTATTATTGCGGTGACAATTTTATAACTATAATAATTCATTAATGAAATTTTTATAAATAATTTTTTTTTTAATTTTAAATTACTTTACAATGGGAATCTTATAATCATAAAATTTTATTAATGACATTTTTGCAAATAATAACTTCTTTATAACTTTAAATTAAATAAGTTTTTAAAATTTGGGAGTAATTATTGTTTTTTTACTCTCAAAGTCAGTTTTTAAAATTTATATTTAAAATAGTTTTTAAAACAAAAAAATAAAAACCACTTTAGTTATCAAGGGTGTGTATTTGAATGTGTTTTTGATTTTGAAAACTGTTTTGAACATAAATTTTGAAAACTGATTTGGAGAGTAAATAAAAAAATGAAACTTATTTGAGTGTAGTTAATTTTAAAGTTATAAAGAAGTTGTAATTATTTATAAAAATGTAATTAATGAAGTTTCATAATTACAATACTGACACTGTAAAGTAATTTAAAATTAACAAAAAAATTATTTACCAAAATGCCATTAATAAATTCTCATATTGACAAGAATGCTATGGCCAAAACAAAAAAAAAAAACAAGAAAATATTATAAAATGGATGACTTTTTGTATTCTAAAATGGTAATTCAAATTCTGAAAACCGTTGAAATTTAACCCTCAATTTATGATTGTCACACCCTCAATTTATGATTGTAACCGTTGACATTTATCCCTCAATTTATGAGGGTTTAATATTAGTTTAATTACCCTTTATTGTTATAACTTTATATATATGGATATCATCGTGATAATGAGATTAGATATTTTTTTAACACTCTCGTCTTCCCTTGATTTACTCCATATTTTTTTCTCTTTTATTTTACTCGCTTTCACTTGTAAGAATTTCTTCTCTTTATACCCTTTTTCTACAAGAGAAAACAGCTTTTGAAAACATCCCTAAGTTGTTTTTTTTTTTTTTTCTTAGTTTTTAAAACTAAAACAGATACTATATTTTAAACTGATTTTTCGGAACACTCTTGTTAAACAACATTTTTTGTTTTATTGTTTTTAAAATTGAAAAACTGTTCCGCAGAACAGAAATCAAACAGAGCAAAGTTTCCAGTGTTTGGTTTTGTGTATAATTTTCAATCTGCTGCACTACATTACCACATAACCAAACATGTTATCTCATTCCTCCAATAGCACATCACTTAGAATAGTTCAAAATTCATACAAGATGGAAAACATTTGACAATTAACACTGCAAGACATTGGCGTTAACAAGTTTAACTACAACTAAAATTTCACTATCATAATTTAATATTTCTCAACATATGCAGTTCTCCACAGCTACAGTGAACTCCAAAGTCCAAAGTTGAAGCTAAATGCAAATTATCCACTGGAAAGAAGGAAGGAAACTGGATCTTAGAATGCACAATACTGTAAAGCTCTGTTAGCCTACTGAAGCAGTTGTCTGTGTAAAGGCTCTTCTATAGTCACAATCACAAGTATTGTTCTTGTATCCTAGCCCGGTTCTCTTCCCACCACAATCTGGCGTGCATTTCACCAAACCTTTCTCGGCTGAGTAAAAAAATGTAGAAAGAAATTTTTGAATTTAAATGAATGTGATTGATTGTTCATAAATAAACTTAATTTGATGACAATGCAAACCAACTGTTAAGAGACAGGTATCAACCGGATATAAATTATAATAACCACTCCTCATTAAACCCCGACTAATGAGGGTAGGGTGAGGGTAATCTTTGTACACAGCCTCACCCTTATATAATTGCAAAGAGACTGTTTTTGGATTTGAACCCATGACCTTTCAGTCACACAGGAACAATTTTACAACTGCTCCAGGGTCGCCCTCTTAGGTATCAACTGGATATGGGAATTAAAAACCTATTTATAAGGAGCTGCATCAAAAACTGACTTCGCTTTCTATTCTCTTCATAAGGGTTAAAAGCATAATAAAAGTAAATTTTAGAACCAAACCACCAAATGTAAACTAAATTACCAGAATAAAAAGATAATTGTCAAAAATCCGGGAGCATGAGTAAGTTTTCACACAACACAACTTGGTAAGGTAGTACCATTTACCAATGGCAGTGAAGATAATTAGCTAGAAAGAATTAAAAAGCTGTTGCATTAAAAGTAATTTATTTTCCATGCTAATGATTTCTGCTTACCTGAACCGGACACGCCTAAGTTCTCTGGCTCCACCTGGAAGAGATCTGATAGTGATGTATACTCCTGGTTCATCCTGTTCAACCCATTCAGTTTCCATATCACTGGCATTGCTGACTGAAAGCTCACCTGAGTGATCTCCCTCCCCTGATGAACTTGTCCTTACAGAACCCTCAATGGATGATCTTTCGGTCTTTGTCCCACTAATGTTGGAAAGTTTAGGCGTTGAGGCTAGACCGCTTGTTACATAGCAAGGGTGAGGTTGCATTTGGTGGTGATCCAGTGAATCTGATGAGGAGTATCCCATTCCCATTGGATGGTGAAAATGCCGGGTTGTTCGCTCTTTGATGAGAGGAGGAGTGACAGGGCTGTCCCTGGAAGATTCAATCTTTGAACTCTGAAAATGAAAAAGAAAGTTATCTAAATACCAACTAAAACATATCAATATAGCAACTTCACTATAACAAAAGATTCTAAATGAAGTGCACATGTAAATATAAAAGGCAACAACCCACTACCATAGTTATTTTTAGGTCACATATTAAGTAGGTAGCTGATCCATCCTTACACACTTCCCACTCATGCAAAAGTCAAGTTTCTAACTCAAATATCTCAAGTCAAGTCATCAAGTATGAGTTAGATGGTATTTGTGATTGGTTACTCAGGATAACATGCATGTTGCATGCATTGGTAGGAAATATAAGTTTAATCATGCACTACTTTATGTCAAATTACAAAAAGTTTTATGCTCACCCCGTCTTCAGATCTAGGTGGGGTTGCAAGAGGAACTGCTTGTTGATTGAACCTTTGAACATTGTACAACTCCATTACTTTGTCATAATTCTCTGCCCACCACCTCTGAGCTTGCCATTTATTAAACATTTCACGACTGATCAAATTAATAAAACAATAATTAGTACAATCGTCGATGGGCTAAAAGAAGAAATCTTAAAATCACACTCAAGTACATTTCCTTCATTTAAGCTGTATTATTGACTGTCAAAATATAAACTGGGAACTCCATTTGCAGCCTGACGACTACTCTTGGGCCCAAGATGACAGATATTCAAGGGCATTGCAGGTTATATTAGTATAGAATCAATGCTTGTGCTCCTGTAGGGGCCTAGAAATCATTTAGCGTTGGATAAAACCATGGAATTCGTACCCAGAATTGTAAGTCAAATATAAGATTTGGATCCCCTCATGTTGTTATTTGAAAAGTGAGTCATATAGGCATAAGACAATTGCTATAGGTAGTTACCACTAGGAAATTAAAGGAGGTGAGTTTTAGAAGAGAAAGTTAGGTTCACAGTTCCCACAACCTCCATATTGTTCTAATTTGAGTTTACAGCCCTTAACTCCTACAAGATTCAAGATCTTCTTGATTGTTTCCAATTTAGTTCTGAGACTAGCTTAATAGAAGCCTAAACTTTAATGAAAGATAGAAGAACCTGAAGTTACAACAAAAAACCAAATGACACTTATCCCAACAAAAAGGAGTTAAGGTTAACTCATCCAATCATTTGTGAAATTATTCAATATCAATAAAGTAGAATTTTATATTTATAAACTATTAATGAAAGAATGGACGCTTCCAACATCCCTTTATAATTCTTGTATTTAAGTTCTCTTTTCTATTCAGAACAGACGGCTTTTCTTTTCTTTTCTTTTCTTTTTTTGACAAATTTGCTTGTATTTCATAAAATGAATATTACTCTGGCACATAACCTAGCCAAGTCTTTTTCTTTGCATAGCTTCCTCTTCTTCTTTTTCTTTTCTTCTGTTATCCCTCTTTTCTTTTTTCTTTTTCTTTTTGTGGGCCGAGAGAGGAGGGAGGGCATTTGAGTCATCTGGCTAGGAGATAAAATCCCTTTTTGCTTTTGTCCTGCTCTACTACCACCACCAGTGAAGCATGAGTTACTGACAAAGGAACAAAGGCGAGGTCCTCCAAAGAGGCACACAATGGGCCAACGACGGTGGGCACAGTTGGTTAAGAATTAGGCTCATACCCCACAAGGGCGTGAGTTCGAATCCCGCTAGCCAATACGAGGATCTTTGTTGGTAGACGATGTGTAATCCCTCCCTAAATCCTCAAAGAGGTTGAGAGGTCCGCCCCTCACCAGATAATGGTGTCTAACCCGGCCTAAACTTTTCAACTACCAAAAAAAAAGAAAAAAAAGAGGCACACAATGCAAACAAGATAGATGCTGCCAATCTAGAATGTTGACAGCCTTTGAAAAGCATGTGATCACTCTCAAACAAACATGTACTTAATGCCAGATCAAAGAAGAAGAAAAAGTTTAAACCACAAAGGACAAAGTCACAGTGGCTTAAAAGCTATTTTGCCTCTACCACATGACAAGGCATGTGATTACACTCCAACAAAAATTGGAACCTTGTGCAATTTCCAAAACACACAAGAGAGAAGGGTAGTACCTGAACCGTATCCTCTTCAGATCATTCCCACCCTGAGGCAATGAAACAAAAGTAATAAGCACACCAGGCTCCACTTGTGCAATCCATTCCTTGGGCTCATCCTCCTCCATGAACACTACTGACTCAGTACGTCCACTCACTGATGCTGGTGTTGCTTCCCCACTGGAAAGCCCTTTCAGTCTAGCTTCCATTTCCTTCCCCCACATCCTTGGGGTTGAATTGGAGCTCCCAGGTCTGCGGTAGGCCCAGTGGAACCTTGCTGAATCTGAACCCATATCAGAGTCAGCATAGTTTCTGTTCTTGTTACAATTGGAAGATCCTGAACAAGGCTTGCAATTCTTATAGGCCCCAGAAGCCTTCACTGCCATGTCCTTGATCTGAAAAAATATATCTGTCACAATAGTTTCCTCTTGAGAAAAAACAAATGAAGAAAATCATGAAATACAAAAAAACAATAAAAAAAAATTGGATCTTTTTATTCCATGATTTGTTCCTTAAACTTCAAGGAGTCACCAAAATTCATATTAGCAATACAATGGTGTTGCAGTTCTCTTAGTCTTATAATTAGCATCCAAATATGAAGAATTACATAATTGAAGATTTTGTCATAAACCAAAACAGTTGCTAATTTACCTGAGCAGTAAGAGCCTTGATGGCTTGCTTGGTGCTTGGTGTTTGCACAGCTTCTTCCTCCTGTTGTTGGTGAACAGATCCATTATTGAGCTGCTTGGAACACGCTATGCAAGGCAACATTTCTGATTCCACTCACTTGATTTCCCTCACCACCTCCAAATGGCAAAAGATAGCCAAGTTACACTACTAACCCAACCTATTAATCAGAAAAAAAGGATAACACTTTACAACAATCAAACAAATTGAAGATCTGGGGTCAACTTAATCCAACCCAAAAACACAAAAAGCAAAAGCTTTATCGAATGTGCTGATATGAACAGCCACAAACCCAAACTGGTGAGAGTGTGGTAGAGGAAGAAAAATATCAAAGAGCAAAAGGGTGATCTTATGAAGAATGAAGGCCAAAATCATAACATTTCAACATTCCCACAAGAGAGAGAGAGAGATTGAAGGCGAACGTTGTGAATAGATAGATGTGAAAGGCATGTTTCAAGGCGTTTTATGAGATCAAACTGCATTAAAAATCATTTATTTTTCAATTTTCTCTCTCTCTCTCTCTCTCTGAGTCAGAGTGGACTAAGACTAATAACATAAGACACTCACAACAACAAAAACAAAGAGTGCAAGTTAGAATGAGTTGAGTACCCTTGCTTCCTTTTCAGTGTGTCTCTGAAGGGCCATTGAGATTTGGGCTCTAACTATAGTAGCTCTCTACAACGTGTGAGGTTTGGCGTGTGGTGTCTTGGTCCCTATGTAACGTGTGATTGTGTGCATATATATAGAGAGAGAAACATCACATAAAATGGGTTTGCACGCGCCACCCTATTCTCTCCATTTGACACTCACACAGGGAAAAAAAGGTAAAAATGAGAGTTTAGCGGCGTGAAGTTATGTGCTTTATTTAGCACAACATTTTTTATTTTATTTTATTTAAAAAAAAAAAGGTGTATTCTTTGTGTTGTGCAAGTGCAAGCAGCAGTCTTAGTCACTTCACTTTTCCCCCACATCATGAAAATCACATCTGCTATTATTCTCCACTAAAGTTGCCTCATATCCAGATTATTTTTTCATAATGGGTAATCATATTTTGTGGGAAATTTTTAAAAAAATTATAGTTTAAATAAAAAAATTACCAAATTTATGTGGTTGAGCAACCATATAATATAATCAATTGCGCGTTTCAGAATAGTATAAATTATTAAAAAAATTCTTATCCAATAATTTAAACTTTGGATTGAATTAAATCTTTATAATACCATATTGGATGTAACTGATTCACACAAAAAAAGGACGCGACAGGCATTCATGTTTAGCTACCACAATATATGGACGACATATTTTTTATTTGTAATCTTTTGTGCAGATCCAGTTATTATTCCTGATAAGTCAATACAGTTTGTGTTTTGTAATAATAATTATTTATATAAATTTGAAAACTGATTCTTTGATGTGTAATTTAACATGATGATATCACGTGAAATGATTTTAACCATTAATAATTAAATTAACAGTGATAATTGTGTAACTTTCTATCTTTATATTTTTTCTCTCTCCTTCCTTGCCATCATTCATTCACCCATGTATGATTATGATTGCCTCACATGATATGGTCATATTAATTAGCACATGACTGACAGACATGAGAGGATTCACTCCTTATAAATTTAGTTAAAATATTTACATTGAAAATTTCTTCAAAAATTTAACATACATTTCATCACATTTTTTTTTGTTATCATCACAAACGTTCACCAGTTCTTTTTTTTATCCTTCACTTTTTTTTTTTTTGGACGTTACATGAAATCGAACCGCACACCTAATACACATTAAACACACCCAACACCTATAGGGTATCCCTAGTGGTGCTTATCCTTCACTTTTTAATTCCTAACATTATGGGCAAGTTCTAAATCTCTGAAGTTGCTTTTTTTAATTTACAATAATCATTTCCTAATACAATTTTACAATGGTAAACAACCACACACATATAATGTCTGCATGAATTAAAAAAAAAACATATATAAGTACAGTCAACACTACTGTTAGTAGTATTCTAATGCTGGAACCAGCAGATTCAGAATCCAATCAACGTCAGCCCTACAAAAATTGTTGAAACTGGAGCTTCAGTTAGAGGTTTGATAATTGTCGCTTTAGGCTATTAGCCTTGTAGCCGTTAAACTTAAAAATAAAAGAGGGAATCAGAATCTAAGAGTCACGGCACGGGTAGAATAGAAGAAGCAAGCCATTCTTTGTTTTTAGATTAAGGTTTTTTATTTTTGGTAATGTAGGAAATAAATTTATTTTTTTTACATATATAAAAATGTATATAATTCATTTTTTTCTTTTTTCTTTTCTTAAATGAACTTATATGAGTCCTGTATATTTTTATGTATGTAGAAAATAAAATTTTTCCGTATATTTTTATGTATGTAAAAAATAAACTTTATCTTTTACAATATAAGAAAAATTAACTTTTTCTTAAATGGACAAAAATTTTCCTAACAAATTTTAATATGGTTGCATTTTATGAAACTCACTCAAAATTATTAATTAATTTGAAATAATTCCTTACTAATTGATTGATGTGTTTGTTGGGGAAGCAAACAATTTTTTTCTATCTAGACATGTAGATTGACCCAAGGCATCACTCAAACCAGAAGAACTGGTTGTGTCTCTCCTTTATTTTAGTCCATTTTCTTTCACAGTCGAAACATCTTAAAATTCAAAGCAACCAAAAATTTCCTTTTCTAGTTTTCTTTTCCTATTTCGTTTTGTGTTACAGTTTTTAGTCAATTCTAGTTGGTACAAATTTGGTAACTGTGTTAGATCATATGAGCAGGGTGCCGAACAAATCAAGGGACTTTTGGCTCAGCTCGTGAAGCCCTGAGTTTATATGTCTAAAATTGGTTGTTGAGACCAGATTTGGACTTGTATAAAAGCTCGTTTAATAAAAAGGTCTCAGACTCCAATTTAAAAATTTAAAAGCTTGACTTTAAAGTCTATCAGGCTGGCCCAGTATATTATTTTTTATTTATATTTTATATTTTTTATATTACTTGTAATAGCCCTCTCTTTCTCCTCAATCTATTTCACCCCATTTTATTGGTTAAATAGACTTTTTGGATGATTTTATTTTATATTATGTTGTTTGGATATAAATTGAATTTATGAATATTCATGGAATTACTAGTTTTGTTGATTGTATATTCTGTTTGGATAAATTTTTATTGTCTTATTTTTTTTTAAACAGACTAAACAAGGCTTTTATTTTTTGTAAATAAGTCAGGCCACAGGCCGATAGTTATATTTATAACAGGTAACAAGCTTGATCAAGCTAACACATTTAAACACAGGCTTATCCTTTTAAGACCAAAGCTCAGTTCGGCTCGGCCCGTTAACACCCCTACAAAATTTACATCCAAAATTGATTGATTTCATTAATTACTTTAGTGGCTCTATTATTATTAGAGTGATAATATTCTAACTACCAAAAATTTTCACTACTAACTTATTACCCATCACATCACCATTGGATCAAAGAGAGAGAATGTTAAAAAGTGTTTGAAGAGAGAGAAAATGTTAATCTAATGGTGATTAGATAGGTAGTAAGTTGGTAGTGAAAATTTTTGGTAGTGAGAATATTCCTCCTCTTATTATTAATAACAATAAATTGATTGACTTCTATATACAGAAAAAATAATTTTGATTGACTTTATTAATAATAATAATAAATTGATTGGGTTCATTATTATTGGCTAGAATAATAAAATAATTTACAATGATGGAGTAATAAGATATTGTAAGCGCTTGAGTGGATGAGCTATTTCAACGAGAAATAAAGAAGAAAATTTGATTGTATGAGAAATAATAAGAGAGTGTATAAGAAGTTGTCAAGTTTAAGAAAAAATCTAAACGTTGTATATTGTATACTCTGAAATTTCGCATAATAAATTTGATATCTTTCATGAACATAGCCACATTTTAGATGAACCATGTTAAATCTTATATTTTCAATTATTATAATTTACATTAATATTATTATTAGAGGCGGCATAAATATTTTAGTGCAAAGACATAATTCAATCCAAAAACTTAAGGTAATAGATGAATGTCTTTTAAATAATTTATATTACAGAAAAATATTTCTGCAGTTAATGCCAATAAGTTATCTGCATTTACTTTCAAAACGATGTCGTTTTGGGATTGGAAGATTAAAAAAATATAATTATAAAGACTATAATAACCATGAAATAAATTAAAATTACAAAAATACCATAATTTCTGCCCCAAAATGACGTCGTATTGGTCTTGCTGCAGATAACTTATCTGCGCAGAAAAATTGAACCCTTTATATTATTCTATAATATACTTCTTCATGTAAGAGCCTAAAACACTCGAGAGCCTTTTGGGCTGAAGCATAAATATTACATAAACCTAATTTTTTGATTTATATTGTGTTTTATTTAATTCCACTATAAAGGGTGATAACATTTTTAATTATCTTATATTATTCTCTAACACACCTCTCATGCAAGAGTTCTTTTGGTTTGAAGTTTGGATATTGAATGGGCCTAATTCTTAGTTTTATCTTGTGTTTATTTAATTCCTCTATAAAGTGAAGGCGATGGCTGGTGAGAATCAAACTTGTGACCTCGTGATAACTGAAGTTTTAATACCATGTAAAGAAATAATTCAACGCAAAAACTTTAACAGTTTAATAAATATTTTTTTAATGATTTATATTTTTCTGTAATATTTATATATTCTGAAAATTCTCAACAGTGGTGCCGTGACTAGGGGTGTTAACGGGCCGAGCCGAGCCGAGCCGAGCTTTGGTTTTAAAAGGTTGAGCCTGTGTTTAAATGTGTCGGCCTTACCAAGCCTGTTACCTGTTATGAATATAATTATTGGCCTGTGACCTGCCTTATTTACAAAAAATAAAAATCTGATTTAACCTGTTAAAAAAAATATAAGACAACAAAAATTTATCCAAACAGAATATACAATCAACAACACTAGTAATTCCATAAATATTCATGAATTCAATGTATATCCAAACAGCAAAATATAGAACAAAATTATTCAAAAAGTCTGTTTAACTAATAAAATAGGGATAAATTGGATTGAGAGGAGAGAGAGGGAAATTACAAATAGTATACAAAATATAAATAAAAATAATAATTAATATACTAGGCCAGCCTGAGAGGCTTCAAGGCCGAGCTTTTGAATTGGAGCCTAAGGCCTTTTTACTAAACGAGTTTTTATAAAAGTCCAAGCCTGATTCCAACAACCAATATTAGGCATACAAGCTCACGTCTTCACGAGCCAAGCCAAAGCCCCTGACTCGTTTATCACCCCTAAAATTTTGGTTCTTGCGGGTCATATATGTGCGCATTTTGTTAAAAAACTGATTAAGTTTACTTAATGCACAATTAATCTTCATTAGCCTTTATCATTTATAAGAAAAGTGATAAAGTCATAAAGATGAAAAGTTTTGTACTCCTTAGTTCTACAAGGCCTGATCGAACTCTGTTTGCACTCAACACCATGGGCAACGAAAAAGCTAACTCAGCTCCTTTTTTTTTTTTTTTAAAGAACTGAAAAGAACCGTCAACAATTACAACAAAATCTCGTGTGATGGCAAACTTTTGCCTCTTCTCCAATCAAAACTATGCCAACTCGCTATGCTATAAAATGTGTGCCTTCAACTTGGAGCGAAAAATGATTT